CTAATTTAATTAAAGGATCATTAGGTAATTATTGTTAATACATGAATTAATTCATTTTTAATGATAAAAATTCAACTTATTTTTAAAAGTTTTCTGCTTCTGATAAATCTTCTGCATCATCTTCACCTGAATACTATTATTTTACTTAACCTTATTCAACTTATTTCTTTTTATTTTTGTCTCCAAAACCAAAAAGATTTGTACTATTCTTTTAATTTTCCTCTTCTTTTCTTTTAATTGATAAAATCTTTCTAACTTCTGGATATGTTGAATTATATTCTAAAATTGCTGTTAATGCTCTAATATTAGAAAATAATTATTAATTTTTTCTAATTGTTTTTTCTTCATCTTCTTCAATAACAATTGAATATTTTCCAAATTATATTAATAATTTAAATAACTTAATAACTTCTAAAGTTAATTAATTATATATTTCAGGTGCATTTTTAAATACAATATCTAACATTTCATGTCTTTCTGTAGGTCCTTTACTTAATTCTACAAGATCTGATTAATTTTATACAAAAATTAATTAATCAGCAAGATATCCATTTATTTTTTCTTATACTTTAGGAATATCAACTGGATCAGTTTTAGTAATTTTATTTTATTATTTACCTTCTGAAAGCATAGTATTATTAATATCATTTTTATTTTATTTTCTATTAGTTCTAACAATTTTACAAAGTTCTGGCCATATTATTATTCTTCTTGGTTCTTAATCAACATATAATTTATTTAAGAGACTACAAATAATTGAACGAATTTCAACATTATATTGATTGTTTTAAATATTTTCAATTAAACTTTCAACATTAAAGAAATTTTCAGCAAATTTTTTCCATGTATAATTTCTTGAATTACACATTCTTGAATACATTCTCATTAATTCTTATACATAAGGAATAAAATTCAATAATCTTGGATCATTATTATTTGAGTATTTATGATAATAATCAAGTAGAGTACTTTCTTAATCCCCTCTATAAACCTTCAATTAAGGTCCATCACTTTTTAATCTTATAAGTATTTCATCTTCAAATACTCTTTATGATGAAAGTATATATTTATAAGCCGATTCCTAATTAATATTGATACCTTTTTCTTCAAAACAAACTGATTCTTTTAAGAAATACATTATTTCAATCTTTTTGTTAAATTTAAAATTATTACTCTTGAGCATGGTAGTAAAAAACATAAGTAAATCCCATGTTTAAAGTTAATTATGATTTGAATCTTTTATCTATTTACATATGATTTTATATTAAGTATTATAATCAATAATAGGTTTATTAATTTCATTTCTTCTTCTTTTTTTTTATTTATTTTAATTAGTTAATGGAGTTTTAATAGAGGCAGCCTTTAAAATTTATTAAGGCATATCAAGTGGATTATCATCTTTATTTAGATTCAATAAAAGTTCTTCAAAATTATGAATAATTGCAATAATAGTACTAATAGCTCCATTTAAATACATAGCTTGCATAGATAAAATAGGTAAATATTTAGAACAATATTCTTAATTTGATATATTATCAACTACCATAGCTTGTAATAATTTAAAGATCTTAGTGCATATACTCTTTTTTTTCTCAACAAATCTAGCTATAATTTATTTTTCAAGATTTTGATCTACTTATTATTCTTCTGATAATAATTTAGTCACTTAAACTAATTCAACTGGTTCATCTGCCTTTTGTAAACTTTCTTATGTTGGAAAACATATCACTAAAATTTAGATTAAAATTTCAAAAAAATATTATTCTTTAAGAAGATTTTATGTATGTTAATGTGGAAATCCAAATTCTGCATCAAAAGATACAAAACCTTCTAATTTATTATGACAAAGTAAATATAAATCATCTAATACTTGTTCTAAATGTTATGATCTTACTACTAATTTTTTGTAAATATCTTGAAATTATGATTCTTTAAAAAAATTTGTATTATTTAAATCAACATCCAAATATTCTTTACTTCTTTTTAATATTTTCATGCAAGATAATAAATACTTAATAAATCTAACTTCATTTAAAGATGCACAAGCTAAATTAAATACATGTTCATCCTTTTTATCTTAATCAAAAATAGGTATTGTTATATCTTCTATAAAATTATCACCCTCTATTTTATAAATATCATTTGGACCTACAGTATCTATTTTTAACCAATATTAATTATCTTAATCTCTTGATGATAATCTAAAATAAGAATCTTTTGTTAAAAATTCTTAATTATCTTTTTTTACAATTGTAGAATATATCATTCCAAATTTAAAAATTGATGATTCAGCTATATTTTCAACTGCAACTAATCTAAATGAACCTTAATTTTCAGCAAATTCTTCTAATTTTAAATAATAATTTGATGTTAAATGTTTAAGTCTATATTCTTTTACCCATTCAACATAACCACCATTTAAAAAATCTCCTTTTTCTGGATCAATATTCTCTATAACATACATTCCATTACTATCTCCTATAAATTAGTTTATCTATTCTGAATCTTAGCCTTTTTCAAATTTCAAATATTTCTTCTTTTCATCTGGGGAATACTTTTATACAATCATATTTAACTAATAATTCAATTGATTAATTTACATTAGTTTCAGAATAATTTATCCAAATTACATCAAAAACTGATAATTATCCCAATTCATCTTTCATAAATTTAGAAAATATATTAATTTTCCAAAAAGATCTCTTTTCAGGAGCAACATTTAATTCTCTTTTCTCTTTATCCTTTTTCTTATTAGAGGCATGTAAACCTGGCTCAATACTCTTATCTAAAACACTCACTATATAAACAGTGTCTTCATCAAAAATTAAACCTCCTGTCTCTTATTAAAATGAAAATGAAGCCTAAAATTTGAATTAAGTATCCTCTCCATGTTCCATTTTCAATGTAGCTTTCCAACTATCACTTTCATAATCACTTCCTTAATCTTATAAATAACTTAAGTATTTGTTGCTTGCTTAATGAATAAATTAAATTGTTTAGCCAAAAAATATGGATTGTTCTTTCATCTTCCCAAGAGATTCCTTGTTCAATAATGATTCATCCTACATAAGTTTAATTTGCTTTGGAAATTCGAGTCTAGAGTCTATTTCATAATGGTAACTTCCTTACCTCTTTAATCAACATTAGTAACTTGGTTCAAAGTCTCTTTCTAATGAAATGCTTCCTTTCCCTTATTATATTCCACAAATTAAAATGGAGGCACAACTTTAAATAAACATTAATTTAATCGTCCCTATTCTTTAATCTTAGATGCCGGTAGTAATCTCAGTTTCATTGATGTAAAACCTTCACAACAAGCAAAGTAGTTTTTTCCATCATCATCCTTATAACACAGAGTAACTGTGCATCCTATTTTAAGGGCTTTACTTAGTAATGCTTCACTAGCTTCCATTATATATTTATTTTTAATATTTCATTTTTTCTTTTATTTATTTTCTCATTATTCTTTATTATTACTCTTTCTATTTTCTGTTAGTTTTCAATTTATAACTAATACTTCTTTAAATCTTCAATAATTATTAAATAATGTATCATTAACTATATATTTTTAATCTATGATAATCAATTTAAAATTTTAAGTTCTCTTTTTTTTATATAAAACATTATTTATCAATTGAATATTATATTATATTTTAGATTGAATTGTTTTAGTATAGATTTGCAAATTTAAAAATCAAAAGATTTAAATTTTTCAATTTGTTATTGTAAATATATATATATAAGATAAAGATTGTCAATAATATAAGAATTCTAGAAATTTGATAAATATAATCATATTAATAGTGGATAGTAGAAACTTACCTTATAAAATTAGACTTATTAATAATATAATTAATGTAAGGAAACGAAGACATTAACAAAGTATACACTTTGGAGAAAACATTAGGAGAGTATTGAAATAATATAAGTTAAGGGGAGCCTTTGGAGTTGTTAAAAGAGCAGTTAAAAAGAGCACAGGTGAACAATTCGCTGTTAAAATAATTAACAAGTATTTGATCCATATTGATTGAAGGGAAAACCTATCAAATGATGACTTATTAGCCTTGTAAACAGAAGTAGAAATTCTTACTTAAGTATAATAAATAATTATTTAGATTGATCATCCTAATGTTGTGAAATTGTATGAAATTTATGAAGATGACACATATTTTTATATGGTCTTAGAATTAATGACTGGTGGAGAAGTAATCAATAATCATAGTTTAAGCTATTTGAAAGAATAGTTGAGAAAGATCATTTTAGTGAAAAAGAAGCAGCAGCTACACTTAGACCAATTATTGATGCACTTACTTATTGTCATAAAATGGGAATTGTACATAGAGACCTCAAACCAGAAAATCTACTTTACTCATCAATGGAACCTGGAGCCTTATTAAAAGTTAGTGATTTCGGACTTGCTCGTTTCGTTGGTTCAGAAGAAGTCATGATGACTCAATGTGGTACTCCAGGTTATGTAGCTCCTGAAATCATCAATGGCAAAGGATATACAGAAGCTATAGATTTCTGGTCTGTTGGTGTTATTCTCTATATAATGTAAAAAACAATATTTATTTAAGGTTATGTGGATTTCCTCCTTTCTATGATGAAGATAATGACAAACTCTTTTCAATGATTAAAAATGGAAACTTTAATTTCCCTTCACCTTACTGGGATTAAATTAGTAATGAAGGTTAAATATTAATATCTTATTTCTAGCCAAGGAATTAATTAAAGGTTTATTGACTATTGATCCAGCCAAAAGACTTACAACTGAGAAAATCCTTAAACATCCATGGTTACTTAATAATACACATAAATCTATAGTCAATCTATAAGCAAAATTAAAAGATTATCGTGCATCCAAAAAAATTAAAGTAAATTTCTTAATATTTATAATAGAGAATCGCTAATGTTCTTACAATTGCTAGAGGATGGGGTAAGATGGCTTAAGTTAAGAAAAATTGATATCATTACAAATAAATAATTATATATATATATAAATGTTTCTCATTAAACCATAAACACCTACATTTGGAGATAAAAAACAAAGTCGCAAACCTTAACTTCAAATTAATGAAATTAACAATAATTCTCGCTTTTATAGTGTTCCAACTCGTCAAACATAATAATAAAGTAGAAGTTCATCTATTCGTAAAAAAAATGACCTATTAGTAATTTAAATCTAAATCTTTATTATAGATTAAAAAGTGGAAAGAACTTTATGAAGAACAAACTAGTTATTATATGCGCCTCCTTAAAGTTAATGGTATACAAAATATTGAGCTTCCAAAATTTTAACTATAAAAATGATTGTTATTATAGTTTTATTACATATTACTATGCTCTATGATAAAGTATTAAATATTAATATACTTTATTAATCTTAAGTCTTAAATAATTAAATAATATTTGTATAACCAATAATTATTTTTCTTATTCTCAATTATTATCTTTTGAATTCTTAAATCAATTATTTAAACATAATTAATCATTTTCATAACTATCTAAACATTAATATAATGATGAAGCCAAAAATGTGTCATTTAAATTACTAACCAGTCACATCTTTGAAAACTCAAACTCTAGATTTTGATCTATTAGAGTTAGAGAAGATAAATTTTTCAGTTAAAAGAGATTAAATGGTTGTTTAACTAAACAAAGAATAAGAAATCAACACACCAACTTTTAAATATAAAAAAAATATAATTTAAGGTGCTGTTAAAGAAATTGGTAATAGGTTTCATCATTTATTATCCATTTCTCCAAAAAAATTAATCAAATCAACTAGAAATTTATCTAAAAGATAAAAAGAGCCATTGATGAATCTAAAAAATTGATAATTTGTATGTATTCAAAGATAACTTTTCATATTTTAATATGCTATAAGAAGATTTGTTAATTATTATTTTAGACTAGTGAATCGAATGATAATTATTATATATAAACTTCTTATATATTAATATTCAACTACTTAATACAAAAATTTATTTCATAAAAAATAATATTATTACTGTGCAGTAAAATAATTCAAGCCAAAAATTATTAATATGTTTAAAGAATAAGATGATGTTGATTTAGAAGAGGTAGTTTATTTTATTTTTTGGGAAGTGATTTATTTGAATAATAATTTATTAAATAGCATTAAAAAAAAATTATTATAAAATTTTATATTTAATGGTAGTATAATACTTTAAACAAACTAAATGATTGTTTTATTGTATTAATATTATCATTGAATCATAGATAGTCTTGATTTATTCCTATTTTTATCACTTAATATAATTTTCAGTATATTCATTTTTTTCATTTACTCCAAATAGCTATATTGTAATATTTAATTCAAAATATCTTAATGTATTTATGTTAGTAAAATCTTTAGAAATTATGAACACTTCTAATTTGATGCTTTTAAAAAGAAAACAAATACTTAATTAGAAATAAAAAAAATAACTAATTATTTATAATATATTTTATGAAATATTTAAGTTAATACTTTTAACTTGAAATTTTATAGTTAAATAAATAGTTAATATATAGATTTCAAATCATAAATATTTAAATTAGAAGATAAAATTAAAGCAAAGATAATATTGTTTTCTCTTCTTTATAAGTCCAAATTTAATAATAGTTATTGGAATAGAATAAATTCTTTGAAAAAAGATTGACATTTCAAATTTATATTAAAACTTATAAATAAAAAATCAGATCTAAGTCTCAATTTTATTTGAAATAACATAGTATTTGATTAAAATTTATAAATTAAAAAATGGAGAATTATTTTATATTATTGTAGAATCATAATAATAAAATAAATTATTTTGCATAAGTTTTTAATAGATATTACTTATAAAAATGAAAATATGATTATTATAGTATATAATTTAAATAATAGACATAAATGATGTAAATTTATAGAATTCCTTATTATTTATTATTTATTCTTAATTATATAATGGAAGAAAAGGTTCAAAAATAATATATTGATTGTGTAAAAAAGCTGCAGAGATTTATTTAAAGTAGTGTGCATGACTAAATTAGATTATCCTGATAGAGTGCCAGGGAAGGTTCAATAAAAATTGCAAGTTCTATAAGCATCAATTGACAATCATAAATTTGGGAAAACGGAGTTATTGTCTGAAGAAGAGATATAATAATTAATAAATCCACCAATTCCTGTAAAATTTCGAATGTATATTGATATTGTGAATTCATTTATCTATTCAGAAGATGAAGTATAGGGCCGTCTTGAAATGAAAAAAAAATCAGGATGGTTTTGGAATAATAAGATTTTAAAGTTAAATATGATGGATCGTAAACTTATGATATCTAGGAATGATCCAAAGAAAAGAGATAAATAATTAGCATTATCAGATTTTTCTCTAAAATGGTATAATTAATTTGATATTAATGAAGGTGTGAATCAATGAAGAATAAGTATTGTTTTTAACTTTGTGGAAAAGAGACATTTTTATTTGGAAGTGAAGATTTATAATAAGCAGAGAGATGGTTTAATTATTTAAGATAATGTTGTGCATTTATTGATGATGACTAATTAAAAAAAATAAAGTATGATAATAATATTATTAAATGAAGATAATAAAAATAATTTTAACGATAATCTGAAGATTTAAGTCAATCACTTAATATTTATCCTTAAAAGCGTTCAGAAATAATATAATCTAAGCCTTAGAACATGATAGATGATAAATAAAAGACACATCACAAAACCTAATCTTAAGTGACAAAACCAATTAATGATAATACATAAAAGTCAATTGAATAAAAGTAATAAATAATAGAAAAGGAATAATCAGTTTCAGTTATCTCAGTCTAAAATGTAAAAGGAAATTAAAATAATATTACTTAACCTGATAATAAGGTTCCAGCTCTTTTGCAAAATATACTACTTAATAAGGAACTATACTCAATTGATAGATTGATGGATGATTCAGAATACCAATTAATAAGCTTTAAAAATAAATTGAGGTATTGATTAATGAAATAATACTAGATTATTATAACATAAAACATAGTAAGAGAAAATAAAAGCTATTGTAAATATAAATAGTGATAACGTAATTCCAATAGTGTCAGCTTTAGTATGTCCAGATGTTATGAAATAATGGAATACATAAATAGATTAGACAATTATTTTAGATATTATGATTAATAATAATTCTATGATAATATCTGAAATGAGAAAAAAATATGGTTTACTTTATTTGAAAAGATCATATACTTATTTAAGATATGTTTTTAAAGATAAAGATACTTTTTTCATTATTGATAAGAGTTTATCATATCAAAATAATATATAAAATGGATATCAATTTGAGGGATAAATTTAATTAAGTATAATAGCTGTTATTCCATAATAATAACAATAAGTTATGATAATTTGGGAAACAGAAACTAAAAATGGAGGATATGCAAATGATGCTTAATTATCTTTACATTATGTCTCAGAATTATAGAATTTAGATTCTTATTTAATTTAGAAATAGTTCAAGATTCCAATTCCATAGATAGTTGAATAAGCTACCAAAGACCCACTTAATGTAGAAATAATAGAATAATATTAACCTTAAAGAGTAATTGAAGTTTAGATGGATTCATCTTTATCTGATGTAGATTGCAAATAATTTTAATCTTAAATAATATTAGATGATGAACCAGAATTGATTAATAAAAATGATTATTTGTAATTATTAGACTTAGTAGCCAAAAATCCTGGGATGATATATTGGTCAGCAATACATCATTATCAATTAACACCATTAGAACCAGATAATATTTATTATACAGAAACTGCAGAACATAAAAATATTATTCTATAAAGTGATTGGGAAATTTTAGAGAAAGGTGGTTTAAGATTTATAAATAAAAAGAAACTTGAAATTTAAAAAGAAGTTATAACATTTATGTTAAAGAAATTAGGATCTAATTTACTTATGGGTAAATCTTTAATTAGTATTTCTTTGCCTGTTAATATTTTTGAAAGAAGATCTAATTTGGAAAGAGCTTGTTATAGTATGGGATATATGTGGTTATTAGAAAAAGCAGGAGAATTATCAGATCCACTTGAATAAATGAAATTAGTAGCATAATTCTCACTTGCTTATAATATAATGTTTTTAAATATGGAAAAACCATTCAACCCTATATTAGGAGAAACATTTTAAGGTTACATGAATGGAAATTTATTATATTGTGAATAGATTTCTCATCATCCACCAGTATTAGGATTATATGTTTTGGGTAGAAATTTTAAATTAACTGGTCATTTGGAATCTTAAGCAAATTTTAGTGCTAATTCAATTACAGGATAGAATTATGGATATTTATAAGTTACATTTCCAAATAATACATCAATTATATTTAATGTAATGCCAGGAGTTATATAAGGAATGACAATAGGACATAGATAATTTTATTATAATGGTGTAGGATGGTTAGTTGATTTGGAAAATAAACTATTTTGTGATATCATAGTTACAGCCTTTCCTGGAATGTTTAGTAAAAAAGTTACACCTTAAGATTTTATTGAAGGATATATTATGAAAGGATCTGTTAAAGATGTTAATAAATTTAATTAAGAAACATATCGTAAATATTAAGGAATTAAAGCTTTACCTTAATAGGATAGACTTTCTAATATTAGTGGTAGATGGACTACAGGAATGATAATTGATGGTGTAGAGGTTTTGAATTGGTTTAAACATTTCCCTTACAAATTAAAATATGAAGAATACCCTTTAGCATCAGATAGTAATTATAGAGAGGATTTAATTGCTTTAAAGACAGGTGATTTAAATTTAGCATAAGACAGGAAGGAGAAGATGGAAATTAATTAAAGACATGATAAGAAGATAAGATAAAAGAAAAAACATTGAATTGTGTTTAGATTTTTTTAGTATTATTTAATCAGGAGTATAAGACCCTATTAAATTTCTTCTGTTTATATAATTTAAACAATTTTATTTATATAAAGATATATAAATTTTTATATATTTATACTATTCATTAAGTAAAATAATATCTTCGTTCCATCCAGAAAGCAGCTCTTTTTGTATAAGACATCATTTGCATTTATAAATGGTACTTTAATTATTAAATATATATATATTACATTTTTTGCTTTACGATATTAATCTCTAACTTTATCACTCAACATATCTAAATATAGATCATATTAATTCTTTTTGTTAGACCAAGGAATTGCTTAATTATACAGCAATAATTGTACACAATCATTATAACCAGAACGGATACCAAAGAAAAGTGGAGTTCTTCCAAGCTGGATAATATAATAATAAGTACAATATCTCTACGATTTACATCAGAATGATATTCCATAAGTAATTCTACCATTTCAACATGATTACGGATAACTGCATGATGAAGAGGAGTTAATTTGGATGAATCAAATTCATATACTAAATAACGATTTTCTTATAATTCTCTATGGGCTAATTCAAGCTTATTAGATTTGACTAAATCAAAGAATAATTTTGATCTTTCATGACTATATGCTGTTAGAGGATAAACTCTATGATTAATGAGATCATCAAGATTGAGATGTAATTCATGTAATCTAAATAAGAACATCTTTATCATATTTAATATTTTGTGTCTTCTCATTTTTCTTTATTATTGTGGATTTATAATTTCATTTTTTGGAAATACTTCTAATAAGGATTAATCTAAATTCAAGTTTTTATGTTGATATTTTGAATTAATAGATTTGGATTTGAAATCTACATAACATTTTCTATGATACTCTTAACGAGTTAATTCATCAAATCTTTCAATTTCTTATCTCTATTTTATTAATTCTTATGCAGTATATTTTTCTGCTTCTTCAAGTTACTATTACTCTGAATATAATAAATAAATTACTTAGAATAATTTCCTCATCTTTTAACATATTGAATAATGCAATATTTATAGGATGATTTTATGCTCTATCTAAATCAGTATATTAAATATCCTCTATGTGCAACTCTTTAAAAATTTAGTTTGGATCTCGTTTCTAAGATTTCAACACTTTTAAACTATCATCTTAATAATATTTAGAAAAGCGAACTCTATTCGCATTAGTCAATTCATAACGAGGATTTGATAATCTCCTTGGAGGTGAAGGTATTGATTCATGTTATCTACTTATACTCTTCATTCTAAGCATGTGTTCACTCATTCCTTTTATTATACGTAATGGCTACTTAAAAATAAACTACCTTTCTTTATTTTCTTACATTTCATTTTGTAATTTCTAAATTGGTATTGTTGTTGTTTTAGTTTTATCTAATATCATCATTTATTATTCCCCATTGAATTTCTTTAGAAAATTATTATAGTTAGTAGCTGTTGCCATTTGTTTTATTCTACTTGTTTAAACACGCTCAGTTACTGGTTGTTGTTAAGCAAGCAAAGATTTTTATTTTTCAAGCCATTTTACACGTTTATGTTAAGGCATTGCAAGTAAGTCCACTGTTTTTTCTATACTTCTACTTGTATTCCAAGTATGTGGTACTTCAGACAAAGCTGTATGGTTCTTTCTTAGAAGAGGTTATTAAATTAGTTGCTAAACTTGTACTAAACTCATTTATTTGCTTTTCCTGTTAGTCATTTAAGTTTTAGGAGTTGCAGTTTATGGTTAAGAATATTTTAATCTCTCAAAAGATTCATGTGTTTTAGCTTAACGAGTAGTCTTTTCATTACTCTCTATTAAACTTGATAATAGGCACCTATGAGTGGGTGCTTTCATTTTATAAAATTATTAACTCACTATTTATATTATTGAAATCAATATTATATATTTTCATTACCTACTAAAAAATGTTCATATTATAATATCACTCAAAAAAAACAATTGCTAATTGTTTAAGTATTATTCAATCAATTTGATTTTATTTTGATATATCAATTTATAAATAATTTGTATAATCAACATTTAAATTCTAATGTTTAAAGAATATTACTACAAAAAATAATAATATTTTAAACATAAATAGAATTACTATTATAAAGAATTCCTTATTTTTTAAAAGATTATAATTATTCTTTATTATATTCTGTTTTCTATAAAAATATGCAGATATATTAAATTTAATAATTTTAAGATAATTAAACAAATAATATATTAAATCATATACATTTATACTATTTCCTAATTCATTGATTATATGTAATTAAACATCCAAACATTTTATTAAAATATTATTAAATTTTAACTCTTACAGATCTCTTATTTGTTAATTAATTTACTCCCTCATTCTATTCTATTTCACTAACAAACATAGATTAAGAAAAACTTTTTTAATTTGTTATGAATATTACCTCCTCTCTTTTTGCAGACATAAACGATTATCTTAATTCTTCTTCATATTCAAATATTACCTTTTTACAATCCCCAACAAATTTTTAACTAATATGATCCTTATATTAATTTAAAGTGTAAATTAGAGCTTCTGTAATTTTTTTTTATTCCTCAGCTTCACTTAATAATTTATATCTCTCAATACTATTATTGACATTTCTACTTTTTTCTAATAGTTCTCTTAATAAAAATATATGTGAATTCAAATTCTCTTTTATTTTCTCTTTAGCTACATCTTTTTTCAATTGTTATACTTTCTTTTTTATTTACATTAACTCTTTTTTCTCCATTAAATTCTATGGATTTAATTTAGAGATCATTTCTGTTGCTTCATCATAATCTAATTCATTATTAGTTATTTATTTCTCTAAATCCTCTAGGTAAGATGTAAAATTACTCTATAACATTAAAATATTCTAATATATACAAATATAATTAGAAAAGCATTTTTATTTTTTAATCAATTCTAAAAATAATTAAAAATCAATTAGAATATTAACATAACCTTTAATAATACATAAATATTATCAATAAAAAAATGAAGAAAAGTATTAGTAAGATCATAAATATATGAATTAATATGAATCATAATTTCATTCAGTTTTAATAAACAAAATCCAAAAAATTCTTTCATTAAATCTATTTTAATCAATAAAATTCCATATATTTATATATTTCATTAATTTTTTATATGAATATTTTATATAGAGAATTGCTCAATATTAAAGATCATGATAATAATTATACATCTTATTTAGATTTCAAGAGAGCTCTATATATATTGTTTTTATAAATATTTATTGAATATAAAGAGCAAATTTTATGAAATCAACATAAATTGTTTCTAATAATAAAAATGTTTACTAAATTATTTAGATTTTCATTTTCTGCCACAACTAAAAATCCAAAGGTATTCTTTGATATTTCCATTAATAATGCCCCAAGTGGTAGAATCATCTTTGAAGTAAATTAAATAATAATATATTTAGTTATTTGCAGATGCCACACCTAAAACAGCAGAAAATTTTAGAAAATTATGCATTGGTGATACTGTGTCTAAGATATCTGGAAAAAATCTTCATTATAAGGGTTCAATATTCCATAGAATTATTCCATCCTTTATGTGTTAAGGTGGAGATTTTACAAATAATAATGGCACAGGAGGAGAATCAATTTATGGAAGGACATTCCCAGATGAAAATTTCACATTAAAACATAGTACACCAGGATTATTATCAATGGCTAATGCTGGACCAAATACTAATGGATCTTAATTTTTTATCACAACAGTCCCATGTCCTTGGTTGAATGGAAAACATACAGTATTTGGAAAAGTTGCTTCTGGATTAGAAGTGTTAAATGCAATTGAATATTGTGGAACTTAATAAGGAAGACCTTCAAAAAAGGTTATTATATATGATTGTGGTGAATTGTAATGAGTGATCTAATTACATAAACCAAAAAAATTAATAATCTAATATAATTGTCTAATTAATATCTATTTTATAATGATGTTATCAATTACTACATAAATTTTATGTAGAAATATGAAAATATTAAACAACAAATCATTAGTATATTTTATATTAATATCCATATTAAATTTTAAGAATGTAAGATAACATTATTGCTGATCGTATGGCACCTTATCTTTAGTTATAGATGTATGCTAAATTTACATAATTGGCTGTGAAGAATTCCTGTGTTAATATGGGATAAGGATTTCCAAATTTTCCACCACCTTAATTTTTAAGATAAGCAATTGCAGAAGAAGCATTAACAGAAACTTTACAATATACAATAACAGCTGGACATCCAAGACTATTAAAAGCAGCTTCTGAATTTTTTGATAAACATATGGGAGTCAAAGTAGATATTGCAAAAGAGATAGTGGCAAGTTCTGGTGCATAATCAGTATTAGCTTGTATTTTCTAAGCTTTACTTAATCCAAATGATGAAGTAATATGTTTTGATCCTGCATTTGGTATTTATTAATAAGATATCAAGATTTTTATCGACCCTTAATAGAATTTTAAGGTGCTAAACATGTTGGTGTTCCATTAAGACCAAGTCAATTAAATAGTAAAGCTAGTATATTGAACAGATTTGAGAATGGCAAAATAAAATTTTCAAAAGAAGATGAATGGCATTTAGATTATGATTATCTTGAATAAAAATTAAATGATAAGACTAAAATGATAATTGTGAATTCACCATAAAATCCAATTGGAAAGTATTTAATAAATATAATATATTTTTTAGAGTTTTTTCAGTTGAAGAATTAGATAGATTGGCAGAAATATTAGAAAAACATCCTTAAGTAATTGTATGTGAAGATGCTGCATATCATCATGTTGTATTTGGTGATTATTAACCATTTTCATATCCTAGATGTATAACTCATCCAAAATTAAAATCTAAGACTGTATGTGTAACAAGTGCAGGTAAAATGTTTTCAGCTACAGGTTTAAGAGTTGGATTTGCAATAGGAGATGAAAAATATATAAAAGGAATAAAATCTGCTTAAACCTATCATAATTTTTGTTTGAATCCTATATTATAAACTGCTACAGCTAAATGTTTAGAATAAACTATTGATGGAAAATACTTTACAGAAATCAGAGATTTATATGAAGAATAATCAACAATGTTATTAAAAGGTTTAATTGAAAGTAGATTGAATTTACATTGTTGGGTTCCATAAGGAGGATACTTTTTAGTTACAGATATTACTGATGTAGAAATACCAGAAAAATATTTTAAAGATGATTAAGATGGTCATTAACTTACTAAAGATTTTGCTTTTGCATATTATATGGCTAATGAAATTGGAGTAGTTTGTATTCCTTGTTCTCCTTATTTTGAAAATAAAGAATTAGGTTCTAGATTTGTAAGATGGGCATTTTGTAAGACAACAGAAACTATATAAGACGCATGTAATCGTTTAAAATGAGAAAAATTACATAATTTAATTTAGATTCAACAACAATCATCATTCTTTTTTTTCTTCTTTTATCCTAAACTTGTTTACAATTCTTTATCATCTTCTTCATCATTTCTGTAAAATGTGCCTAATTTAATACCTAAATTTTCATTATTCTAATCTATTAATTTATTTTCTATTTTATCATAGATTCGTATTGCCATTTATTAAAACACTTAATCTACAAATTATCCTGTTTTAGCTGAAGTTTCAATATAATGTATTCTATATTATTCTGCAAATTGTTTCCCCTCATCTGCTGAAACTTAGCGTCTATTTATATTATTTATTTACTCGCTCTCTAAATCAATTTTATTGCCAACAATTACTATATCTACTGATTCATGAGCACAATCCAATATTTCATTATACCATCTAACAATATTATGGAATGACTATCGATTTGTAATATCAAAAACAAGTAAAACCCCTATTGAACTATAATAAATTATAATATAACAAACCCTTTGTAATATGAACGTGTAATTGATCTAAAAGATTCTTAACCAGCCTAACTTTAATTATAATATAATACTGTATCCCAAATTTATATTTTAAATTGTTTATTCTTATGTTTGAATGCTTAAGATCCAAATTCTACACCAATAGTAGCATCATGTTCCTCTTTAAATTTCCCTTCTGTGTAATTAAGTAGAAGACAACTCTTTCCTACACCTTTAATATTTAAGTATTATGATTATTACTTGTATCTCCAACAATTATGAATTTAAAGAGATAGTGATATAAGTCCATTTATATTAATATGAAATAATAATAAGTTAAAGAACCACACTTTAATGGGGAATTTGAAGATAGTGAAAGTGAGAATGAAGATAATTCAAAGAAGAAGACAACCTTGATAATGAATGTATCAGGTTAGAAATACTTACTATAATTTTAGATACTCAATATGATGTTGTGAAGTTTGTAGGTAAAAAGTTATTTAAATGGATTTTATAATATGAGTCTGATGTAACTAATTGGGATATGTTTTGGACAGATGCAGCTGTTTAACCTGAAACTCTAGGAAAAATGCAACGTATTTTTATAAATTTATCATAGCATATCAAAAAATTAATCATTTTCCTGGAATGTATTCTCTTGCTCGTAAAAATCATTTAGGAAGAAATCTAATGAAAATGCGTAAACAATTCACTGATGAATTTAAATTCTTTCCTTAAACATGGTTATTACCAGCTGAATATGGTGACTTTAAAAATTAATTTGTAAAAGGAAAAGCAAAAACATTTATTATAAAACCAGAAGCAAGTTGTTAAGGTAGAGGTATATTTCTGACTAGAAATATTAATGATATTAATCCTAATGATCATTATGTAGCATAGAGATATTTACATAGACCATTCTTAATTGAAGGTTTAAAATTTGATTTGAGAGTATATGTATT